TCATTCAGTGTTTGAAAGATATGGATCTGTTGAAACAATGAGTTTCATACCTTGTTTGTAAAAAAAAAAAAAAAAAAACATAAAGGTTGAAAGTTACATGTTTTTTTTGTATATAGAAATGTTTCATGTCTAAATGATCAGATTTGTATGGTTATGGCCTGGAAGAATTACTACGTAAAAGGCTCTTCAACTATACCTATGCTTCGTCTATGTTTCTGTTACATAGAACCCTCTTCTGAGGGAGAGTAACTCTGTATTCTGCAATTTGAGAATACTGTTCATTCCTATGCCGAACATACTTCTCTGAGCTCCCTTTCTTAAACTCTTAAGCCATTGCAATTCCTTTTTCTTCAGAGATGATGATTGACATTTTCAGCACTTCCTGTTCCAATAAACCCAAAGAATATAATTCTGAACAAGAAGTGTTTGTAACAAGGGATCCTAGCTACCAAGAAAACAAGACTCATTACAAGGACACACACACAAAAACGTTCAGCCTTCTTTCCCCCCAACACCTCAGTTCAATGGGGGGGTGGGGTAAAACAAGGATTTCAGTTGAAATGCCTTGTTTTAACTTTGGTTTTGATTTTTTTCTTTACTATTAAGAGGCCAAAATAAATGTGGAGCAACTTCTCAGAAGTCGTATTCTGTCCAGAAATCAAGTTAGCCAGCAGAAACTGGACAGCTGGGGGGATACTGAGCAAATCTCCCTCTAATTCTTAAATTCAGAATCTCAGCCCTTCCCTTACTGTTACATGTGATGTTTCTGGTAGCTGACGTTTACCTGTACGATGGCGGGAGGGAACAGCGGCTTCAGTTTTTCATATCCTCATGACTCGCATACCAATGGTTCAGCTGTATTAAAATTAAGTGCTTTTTGGCCAATAGGTAGTATCTATACAGTAACCGTCTCTTAAGCATTTCCGTCACTTTTCTTATCTGAAAGGACTCCAGTCTTCCACTGCAGATAATTGGAGATTTCACCCAAGTTTTCTTTCCCTTTAGTTTGTGTTCGTTTGCTGTTGGGATGGCCGATGAGCCAGTCTCCTTTTCCATGGCCAGTCTGAAGGCCCCCCTTTGGAAGCGCTGTTTACAGTCATCCTTGCCGAGGTAACATTCTGTCCTCTGGAATAGCAAATCTGAGCGGTTACCAAGCTGGGTGTGTAGGTTTCCTCTGCTTCTTACATGAACCACCTACTCGTAAATCATCTGGTCCAGGAGTGGGGTGAATTCTTTAGTCAGTGAACATTAAACTTGATACCTGTGCATTCAGTTCTGTGAATAACTGCCCTTTTGGCCTTTCGGGGAGGTTTCTTCCTCCTCGGCCTTCACTGCTCCCTGTAAACCCAAATCAGTGTCAGCTGAAAGGCTCCAGTTGAGCCCAGCCAGTATTCGTGGTGGCCTTCGGTTAAGATGAGAGTCCTAATTTCTAGCCAGTGGGGTCCTGGTCCCAGAGCCATCTCTGAGAGTCACACTGTTGTATTTTTTAGTATCAGCTCACGACCCACCAACCTCCCAATCATACGCCTCCCACCGGCCAAGGGAAAAGAGACACTAGACCTCTGAGGGCACTATCAGACTGACATGGCCAGTACAGAGGAGAACTAGGGAAGGAATGATGTTTTGCACCTTATTGAAAAGAAAATTTTAAGTGCATACATAGTTAAGAGCTTCTATTGTGACAGGAGAACTTTTTTCCATATGCGTGCATACTCTCTGTAATTCCAGTGTAAAATATTGTACTTGCACTAGCTTTTTTAAAACAAATATTAAAAAAAATGGAAGAATTCATATTCTATTTTCTAATCGTGGTGTGTCTATTTGTAGGATACACTCGAGTCTGTTTATTGAATTTTATGGTCCCTTTCTTTGATGGTGCTTGCAGGTTTTCTAGGTAGAAATTATTTCATTATTATAATAAAACAATGTTGATTCAAAATTTGAACAAAATTGTTTTAAATAAATTGTCTGTATACCAGTACAAGTTTATTGTTTCAGTATACTCGTACTAATAAAATAACAGTGCCAATTGCAAATGTGTCTTTGCCTTGTGTCAGGTCCTCGGAGAAAGACGAGGCTGAGGACATGGTCGTAATTCCTCCCTCTTACTTAAGCTGCTGTCATCACTGGGTAGGTTTGTGGTGGAGAGGGTGACGTAAGGCATTGCCTTTCCTACTAATTTTGGGGGTGGGGAGAGGGTTGGTCTTGCTTGAGATGAGATTCTGAGATAAAAGGCATGTTTCAACATCTGATGTCTTGGCTTGTTCGGTTCTTGTTTATTCCTCCTATCTGAGCGTTGCTGTTTGCAAGAGATGAGATAAATTTTGTTTTTCAACAGTATTGGCATCTTTGTCGGGTCACAGAGCATTATCCATCCATTTCTGTACAATTTTGCTGTACCCTGGTTGGTTAGTTGTCTGAAGGTGGAAAGTTCATTCATGTTTTCTGTAGTTCAGGCCCGTTAGAAACTCAGAGGCTTGCACGTTGCCCAGTCTCAGATAGATGAGGCTCAGCAGTTGCCCCAGAAACGAGTTCCTCCAGGGCCCAAGCAGGTGAAGCCCTCTGCCCGCATCTGCATGCGTGGCTATCAAATCCTTCCAGCCCTAAGGGTCTGCAGAGCTGGAAGAGAGCTCTGGGCATTAAATCCAGAGTTGTCGCTTAGCCCGGGCAGGGACGGGTAACTCCTTTCCTGTTACTGCCTTCTTGCTTCACGGATGGGGACATCTCACCAGGACTCTCCTTTAGGACTTAAGAGTTGAGGTTCCGACGCATTGTGAATGCTAGTGTGTGAGAGAGAACGTTGGTGTGTAAACTAGCAGTGATGAGCTGAGCCTTGTAACCCAGACAAGGCGGCTGCCCAAGTCCTCGTCCTCCAGAGCATTCCGGGCAGACGTGGGCAAGTTTGGCGAAGCGGGTCTGAAACGCCGGCTTCCCCGCTGTTCGCTTTCCTGACAAGTTTGGGGTCCAGTAGCTGTGAGACTTACCTGAAGCAGTCATACTGATTGATTAGAGAAAAGCCTTGGCTTCACGTGCTGCAACGAGGCAGACCTGGAAACCACCAGAAGCACGGCAGGAGCCCACAGGTGGAGCCGCCTAAGGTGAATGGCATCTAGTCACCGGCACCCACCCCTGCACAGGAAGCCCTGCAGTCAGCAGGGTCTGAGGGCTGCTCCAGGGCAGGATCCCCCATGCCCACGGCTACTAGAGGCAAGAGACGAACTTGCAGAGGGTAAGCGGCCCTTAGAAGTGAAACCTCTGCTTCAGAATGATCCTGATGAGGTCTTGGCTTCTGCAGTCAGTCACGTTTTCGCTCCCCTAAAAGCCGGGTGAGCGAGGGACCTGCCTTCCCGCCTTCCCGGAAACAAAGAGCAGGTAGTCTGCAAAATCTTTGCACAAGATGGATCAAGCAGGTGCACATCACCGTGGAGAGGACTGCCCAAAGGGATGCCGTCGTGTGCTCCACCCTGATGGGAGGAGGTGACCCCCAAAAGCCAAGACCAGGAGCATGGAGAAGTATGCCATTCTGGAATTTTCCTTATTACTTACTGCTCGTCCATTTTAATGGATTTAAGACTTCTCCACTTCTCTCCCTTATTTTGCAAATAAAGAGCCTCTTACAGCTAACACACTAGAGGGCTCAAGTGTCAAACACGTCTTCCACAGGAACAGCATGGGGCTTACACCTCAGACAAGCAGACAGGAGAGGTGGGGTGCCTCCGGCACTGCCCCACATCTTGCTTGACGTTCCACATCCTTTAGACCCTCATCTCAAATGTGTAGCCATTCGTGTTTCTACAAGTATAAGAAATATTCTGAATGGATTTAGGAGCAAAAAGCATTACAATGGGGTTCAAGTTGCTGGACCTTTAAAGGTATTCTTCTAAGACTAAACTCGGACCTGTAAGTTCCTGGAGTGCCATGGTTTGGTTGGACTCCTCATACGGTGTCAGTCACCATGGACATCAGGCAGTTAATTCGCTCTTACACAGTAGGAGTGTGTGGCTCCTTTCTGCTCCAGGGCTGTCACTTGTCTTTTCAGAGAAAATTTAACTCCCGTATCTGCTGCTTTAGCCTCATTTAAAAGGAGATAAAGTAAAACATCCTGGGCTGCATACACCTCCCAGTCCTAATATTCAAATAATGCTTCAAAAGAAGTGGCCGGTCATCATTAACGCATCCGCGTTCACTGCTTAGACAAGTGTCACAGTGGACCTGCTGTGGGATTCCTGCCAAGGCCACGGGTCCCTTCTCCCAGGAAGTGCCACTGTCACCAATGAACAGACCCTTACACAGTAGTGCCCAGTGGTCCTTCCTGGAAACCATGACAAGGGAACGGTTCTATCTCAGATTTTAAACCAATGCCTTTTAGGAAGGCACTGCTCAAGGTTTTGGTTGCTTTCCAGTGGGACTCTCCCTGCCAACTTTTCAGTGGATAACCTTTCAATAAAAGGTCCCATGGAACTTCAGAATAATATTCTGTCTTTGAGAGGCCAACCCGATGAGCCAGAACGGAGCAGGAGAGGGAAGAGATGGAGGAAAACAAACCAAATGAAAAACCAGGACGGGGACAGTTTCCTAGAAGCAGCAGCAATAGAGGACCTGCTCCCAAAAGGCACGTGCAAGGAAGGTGGTGGAAGCACGTCACCGCACGTTGGGGGCACCTGCCGGAATCAATTTCTTCAGGTTCACCTGTCAACTGCTTTCGAAAGCTGGATGGAGGGGACGCCGGTTCCCCCCAGTCCTCCCCTCCCCAGGTACCTTGACTGCTAAAAGCCAAGTGTGGGAAGCAGCAGAAAAGCCCCAGCTCCCCTGACCACTTGGTCCTGCAAATGCAGACTCCAGCACGCAGGCAAGTCTTCATAGCATTATATTAAAGTGAAACCATTTTCTTAAAAAAAAAAAAGGAAAGAAAAGAAAAAGGCGTGTTAGTTTTAACAAGGAGGTTACACGTTCCGGGCAGCTAAGCTCCAACCGCTGACCCAGGAAGTGCCTTGCTTCTGGGATCAGCCGGAACCTCTGCCGTCACAGGAGGAGGGGGATGGGAAAGCAGGCCTGTGCAGACGCTTCCGGCGGCTGGAGGTCGTCTCGTCCTTGATCTCGAGGTTAGCTGAACATGGTGTTGTGCTGCTGGGTCACCCGGATGAACGTCGCCCTCCTGCTGAGCTCTTTGAGTTTGGCGGCCCCTACATAGGTGCAGGTAGACCTCAGTCCCCCGAGAATGTCCAGAATAGTGTTCTTGACATCCCCTTTGTAAGGCACTTCCACGGTCTTGCCCTCAGAGGCTCTGGAAGAAAAAGGGAGGTTTTTTCTTTCAGTCTGGTTCTTTTCCCTTAAGAAGCCGGCCAGAAGGATTCCCAGCCGTAGCCCAAGGCACTCGGGCAGCGACACGCCACCCTCCAACCCCACGCCCGCATCAGCCTTGCTGCACACGCCACGCAGGTCAGGCCAGCATCTCAGAGGAAGGCACTCCTCCTACCCAAGATGTGTGACCTCGCTGCTGGCTGCCCAGAGCCCGTCAGCAACCCTGCAAGAGTCACAGACCCCGACTGTCACCCCAGAGGGCGACGTCCTCCCCAGCAGTGTGCACTACTCCGTCCCCATCGAAAACCGGCCCCGCCTTTCCAGTCTCTGTTAATGTTGTACACTCACCTCCAACTGACCCAGAGCCCCAGAATAGCTACGGGACAGCGGAACAGACCACCTGACCGCTGCCCACCAGCGTCTCTCCTGCTTGCTCTCCCTGATCAACAACGGAACAAGCCCAGAGCGTCCCTCCCCCACCCCTGCCAGCTCTCCCCAGTCACCTTCACAGGGGACAAGCCGGAGAGGAGGAGGGAAGGGACGGAGAAAAGGGACAAGTCAAGCACCGCGAGGTGACAAGGAAACCTCCGCTAGTAAGGTTAGTGGCTCCACTCACACGGCCTGTCTTCCCAGGGCCCTTGCTGGGTGCCCCTGCCCCCAGGCCCCAGCTCACCACCCTGCGTCTGCACAAATCACTATGCCTGTTGTCCCAGGCGTGGCGCGGGGCCCCTGAAACGTGGAACCAGAGCAGAACTAAGGACCTTCTCAGCACCGGAGGCTGCAGGGCTTTGGTTAGCGTCTTCTGAGTTTTCAGGGGGACGCTGAGAAATTCAGAAGAGCCGGCACGTGGCGCCAACACTAGAGCACATCTGTCCTTGCTGAGTCTAACACTGCTGATTCCACGTCACGTCCCCTTACTGCAAGATGGAGATACAATCCAGACTTGCTTTAGGAGGGACATTACAAGAAGGAGCTCTCCAATCCATGCAAAACTCTAGCCTCCATCTAACGGTCAGGCCGTCTGGAAATTTTAACGATTAACCAAATTCTGGCACTTTCTTTAGCTGGTCTCTTCAACTGAAAAAGTAGCATCTCTTGATCAAAAAGTTATTACCTAGAATTTCAAAAGGGTAGTAATTCTTGAGCATTGCACTCTACACCTGCAAGACTACCCCCGGGTGAAATCTAGCAACTTCAACCATCCAGCCAAGGGCTGGCCTAGTTCAGTGGCTGGTTTACAGCACCAAGTTCACGAAGCCGGCCACTGGCCACACCCAAGGTGACTGGCGTCACTGCACTCCGTGACCAGAGACCAACACGCGCACGTGTGCCTGAAATGATGGCCCTTTCACTTTTTAAAAGAGGTTTCCATGGCCCTGCCGAGGCTTTACTGGACATCCTCCAGTTCCTCAGCATTGCTTCTTCGCTAGGGGGCGATGGCACCTTTTACAAGTCACTTATCGTTGATGCCCAAGTCTTCTCATCTGTAAAAGGAAGGGCTCTGATCTGTCTCCCAAGGACAGCAAGAGAACTAAGTGGGTAATGAGTGGGAAAGAACGAGTAAAGCATAAATAACTCTGCCTTAATTAAACAGAACATCAAATACGGAGAATCGTTCTCAGGAAGACATCAGGTGCTGGGAGGGAGGGAGACAGAAAGAGACAGACCTAGAGAGAGAGCACACAGATGCAGCCTACAGGGCTCAGGCTGCCTCTGCTCTGGATTAAGGTCCTAAGTCCTTCAGCACTCTCCATCCTCGGCTAAGATTCGAATCCACTTCTGGAACTGAGTCTTGATACTCAGTTGATACTCAGTTCTTCTGTTTTCTTTTTTGTTTAAACCCTGCTGAAATCACAGGAGAGGATTTCCCCCCCCCGCCCCCCCAGCTCCTTGGCTTCTGTTCACCCTCGAGTCTGGTCTGGCCTTCCCTACCTACTTTTCTTAGAACCCCAAACAGATGCGACAGCTAGAGGGCAAAAACATGTCCTCCAGGCAAAGCAACTGGCTGTCACGGAATCGCAACGGCTCCACTTCCAGACCGGCACATAGGAGACAGGCCTGGGCCCTTGAACGGTGACGCTGGTCACTGGCAAAGCATTAAGCTTCTTGGGCCAGAGGTCCAGGTCGGATGTGAGACAGTAAACCCCTCCCCTTCTCTCCCACAACACACTGTACAGCCTTCGGAGGCCGTGTGGGCGGGGCGTGCCCCTCTTGTTTGGACTGTCTGCAGTTTCCAGAATGAAGGTATAAATGTAGTCCCCGGGCTTCCCCGGTGGCGCAGTGGTTGAGGGTCCGCCTGCCGATGCGGGGGACGCGGGCTCGTGCCCCGGTCCGGGAAGATCCCACGTGCCGCGGAGCGGCCGGGCCCGTGAGCCGTGGCCGCTGCGCCTGCGCGTCCGGAGCCTGTGCTCCGCCGCGGGAGGGGCCACGGCGGTGAGAGGCCCGCGTGCCGCCAAAACAAACAAACAAACAAACAAAACCGAATGT